CGGCCTCCCTCTACGGAGGAGCTCCGCTAATGGGCAGAGTTTCCCTCATGGGGGGGGGAGACGCAGACTGGCGGTGCTCCGAGAACTGGAAGGCACCGGTGAACAGCAGAGGGACGGGCCTTTTGCACAGCTAACAGCTCTTAATTGCCCATTCAAGACAAAAACACCCCCCAGAAGGGATCCTGCGCAGTCTCGATCCAGCTGCAAATCCTCCGGGGCGGACTCCCTTCCTTGGCCCCCACTGAGATCGCCCGGGTCAGCCTGGCCCTCCCCGTTGCAGAGGGAGAGAAAGGAAAAAGAAATCCACCGGTAAAGCCAGGAACCAAAGAAGACTGGAGGGAGGGACAGCCCAAGGAGGTCTGGGCTTCTGAACATGTGCAGAGTTTCTCCCTGCTAAGACCTATACTGCCCCATTAGTGCACACCAACAGAGACGGTGGGACTGAGAGAAAGGGCTCTCCTGGTGATCTTAAAACCCAGTCAGGCTCGGAAAGGGAGATGCCGTCCTTGAGAGCGCTTGGATCCAAGCTATTTAGGGCTTCATTGCTTAGAACCAATGCTTGGAATTCTTCCTGGAAACAGATTGGCAGCTGATGGAGCTGCTGCAACGTGTGTGTGAGTGTGTGTGAGTGTGTGTGTGTTGTGTGATCCCTGAGGCCAGCCCCAGTCAGCCGTCTGATGGCCTTGTGAAGTGAATCAAAAAGCAGTCATTAATCTGAAGCGAAGCAGACCCGCACACACTGGGCAAGCGTCCCAGGGCTCCCAGCTTTCATTGGTCACACCTCCCTCCAGCTTCTTGGGAGAAGAGAGAGAAATAAAAAAAGCTGGGCTGAGGAATATCTACTCGGTGTTTCAGTTAAATTGCTTATTGCCATATGTATGTTACATGTCTTCCACTTACGCCCTTTTAGGCCTTTCCTTTTTGTTGTTGTTTAGTCGTTAAGTCGTGTCCGACTCTTCGTGACCCCATGGACCAGAGCACGCCAGGACCTCCTGTCTTCCACGGGTCAAATTCATGTCGGTCGCTTCGATGACCCTGTCCATCTATCTCGTCCTCTGTTGTCCCCTTCTCCTCTTGCCTTCACACTTTCCTAACATCAGGATCTTTTCCAGGGAGTCTTCTCTTCTCATGAGATGGCCAAAGTATTGGAGCCTCAGCTTCAGGATCTGTCCTTCCAGGGAGCACTCAGGGTTGATTTCCTTCAGAATGGATAGCTTTGTTCTCCTTGCAGTCCAGGGGACTCTCCAGAGCCTCCTCCAGCACCACAATTCAAATTCCTTTTCTTTTACTGAGTAGCAAAATAGGAGGGGTCTTTGCGGAGCCGGCCAATGTAAAATAACCAAAGACATGAAAGCTCATAAACACCTTTGTTTGGTGGTCCCTCCGAGCGTACCCATGGGCGTGCGTACACGCTGAGCACCAATAAACAGCTTTTCTGGTTCAAGAAACCTGACTTTTTGCCGCGGCTCCGAAGACTGCTCCTTTGTGAGAGTTTGAGTGACTGCCTTGTGGTGGACCAGCTGAGGTTTCTGGATACTTTCCAGAGACAGCCCTCCAGTGGCTGCTCCCCCCCCATAGAGTGCATGACAGTAATCCAGCTCGGATTTAACTAAAGCATGTGTCACGGTGGCCAGATCAGCCCTCTCAAGTTCTGGGCACAGCTGGTGCATGAGTTTTAGTTCTGGCCATCACCAAAACCTGGGCATGCAGGCTCAGAGACGGATCCTGCAGCACTCCCCACCCCCACCCCCAGATCAGCCCTCTCAAGTTCTGGGCACAGCTGGGGCATGAGTTTTAGTTCTGCAAAAGGCACTCCTGGACTCCTGGCCACCACCAAAACCTGGGCATCCAGGCTCAGAGATGGATCCTGCAGCACTCCCCACCACCACCCCCAGCTGCGCACCTGTGTTCCCAGAGGGCGGCTGCACCCCTTATTCCCTGTTTTGCCTCTTGACCGACCAGGAGCACCACTGTCTTGTCTGGATGAAGTTTCAGTTTATTGTTGTTGTAGGTTTTTCAGGCTGTTTGGCCGTGTTCCGAAGGTTTTTCTTCTTAACGTTTCCGCCCGTCTCTGTGGCCATGGGCATCTTCAGAGGACAGGAGTCAGAACTCTGTCTGTGTTCTGAAGATGTTGACGGGAGTTAGACAGAGTTCCAATTCCTGTCCTCTGAAGATGCCCACCATAGAGACGGGCGAAACGTTAGGAAGAAAAACCTCCAGGATATGGCCAAACAACCCAAAAAACCTACAACTACCATTCGATCTGGCTGTGAAAGCCTTCGACAATACATTTAAGTTTATTTGTCCTCATCCAGTCTGTTAGGGACATCAGACATGGATCTAGAGCCGAAACAGCTTCCTCAGATGTAGGCATCAAAGAGAGGTAGAGTTGGGTGCCATCTGTTTATTGGTGACATGGATGCCCCAAACGCCTTCCAACCTCTCCCAGCACGAATTGTGAAACGAGGCATCGAAGGATGTTCTTCCCCCTTCTTCGGTGCAAGCCTTCATCTGGCGAAGGGGTTTGAGTGTCTCAGCCAAGCTGAGAGC